CTTTATTTTTGCTTTTTGGGTCACACCCGGCGATGCACAGGAGTTACTCCTGGTTCATGCACTCAGGAATTACTCCTGGCAATGCTTGGGGGACCATATGGGATGCTGGGAATCGCACCTAGGTCGGTCGGCTGCATGCAAGGCAAATGCCCTACCCGCTGTGCCATTGCTCCAGCGCCTGATTTTTATTTTTGTGGTAGGTCAGCAGTGCTAGAGGAAGACTCATAACTCTGTGCTCAGAGGTTGATCTCTGCCGTGCTTGGGGGATCCCCAGTTTCCTGTTGCAAAGCCTGTGCTCAGTCTGCTGAACTGTCTCTCTCGCCCCAGAAAAACACAATTTCAAAACAGTGTGTATTGATAAGACCTACACATGCATGATGATATGCTCGTAGTCACTGTGGCTAACACAAAGCATCATGTACTTGTCCTGAAAACTTAAATTTCCTGTCTGAAACCATGAAATAACATCTTGTTAATTGTTAAAAGATATGAATATTGCTGAAATAAACTTAAAAATGATACTTGCACTTTCATTTGAATAATATATGAGTTATTAAATATCATTTTCACACAAGAATATAGAATAGTTTTTAAATTTATTTCAAATGTTTATATGAAATACTATTAATTAATGACAAAGTCACCTGAACATACAAATAGTACAGTAAAATTTGGGTGTGTTTTTGGAAAACAGTCTGTAGTTAAATCAATTTTGGATCACTATAACACTAAAATTAAGGCACAGGCTATCAGTACTCAAGAACATTATGTTTATTTATAATTAGTTCACTAGCAAAATCCATTGGGAAATCTCATAATTGATGAAAAATTATTCATAAGAAAAGAATTCAGAAGGCTCTAAAAATAGAGCTATGAATCCTTTTGTCTTGAAATGGAATCGTGATCATTCTTAGAACTAAGATATATTGACCTTAGGATCTCAACATATGTAACTAGGTAGGAATGGAATTGATATAGAATATAAGGAAATAAATTATTTCTCACTGTGAGTGTATGATTACGTCTCTTGCTGAACTGGAAGGTTGTCTTAGATTGGTGGAGAGAAATCTTCACCAAAGAGATGGTCCCCAACACAAATCAAAGCTAACCTCTGGGACTGGAGCAATAGCACAGCATGTAGGGCATTTGCCTTGCATGCAGCCGACCTGGGTTTGATTCTTAGCATCCCATATGGTCCCCGGGGTACTGCCAGGAGTAATTCCTGAGTGCAGAGCCAGGAGTAGCCTCTGTGCATCGTCGAGTGTGACCCCTCCAAAAAAAAAAAAGAATTAAAAATAAGCTCTTGGCACATTTGCTCATTCCTAGGGTGATGGTATTTGAGCATGTGTGTGGGTGTGCAATCTGTGTGCATATTTGAGTGGAAGGTACTAAATAAAAGGGTATTGATAGGGAAGTGATCATTTTATTCCACAAGCTGTTTCTGGATAGAAGGAGTTTCTATTCCTATATTTAATTAAATAATGTAGAATTTTCTATTTTAGTTTACAATTTTCAAGTACAGATATGATTCATTTTAAGCCGATAGATCTGTCTTTTATTTGCATTTCATTTTACAATACAGCCTATCTTTCTAGAACCTAAGGAAACTCGCCGGAGCATACCCAGAAATTTCTTACCTCATCATATGGAGAAGTTGTTAGTTTCAGAAGCTGACACTTAGATGAAAGTCCTATCTCTGCCACTCAGCTTTCTTCACTAAAACGTAGTCTGTGGAGAGTATAACACATATTTGTTTCAGTTCTTTGGTGATGTGGGATTTGGGATGAAGTCCCATTGGCAGCAACAGAGTTCCTGGTGCTCTGGGTATTAGCAATTCTGTGTAACACCCTGGGGTTCAAACTCGTGATTGGCCTGGATTTTCTTGCAACACATTTTTCTGCTGAAATAATTTAATAATCTCATCTAGGTACTGGATGTATAATTTTCTTTGTTCATTGAATCACATCATAAATACACTACATGTTGTGTTTTGATTACAGAATTTGCTACAAGGCAAATTAATTTCTTTAATTAATTTTATTGATTTGAGAACAATACACCACACCAGCCTGTAATTGCCTTTATTTAAAAAGGGGCTAAGAGTCTGGAGTGATAGCACAGTGGGTAGGGCATTTGCCTTGCACGTGGCCCACCCGGGTTTGATTCCCAGCATCCCATATGGTTCCCCCACCCCTCCAGCACCGCCAGGAGTAATTTCTGAGTGCGGAGCCTGAGTAACCCCTGTGCATCACCGGGTGTGACCCAAAAAGCAAAATAAATAAATAAATAAATAAAAATGAGCTAAGTACTTATAGTTTGCTGCCAAGTACTCAAAGAAGTTTCCTTGTCTTTTTAACATTTTATTATTTTGTAGTATATATTTGGTAACATGGTTATAGTAGTATTTAAGTTTAGAGCATTGTTCAAAATTAGTGCATCCACCAGAATTTCCAAGCGAAGTATCCAAGATCCTCCACCACTGTCCCTAGGTGATCTGGTATCTGCCTTTTCCTTCTTCATTACTTCTCACTTTCTGGCAATCTGAGTTTTGAAATGTAAAGCCAAGGGTTTCTCATCGTTCAATCCTATCCAATATTATTCTACAATCTTGATTTTTCTTTCTGTATACCACAGATAAGTGAAATGATCTTTTATTTGCCATTTACATTCTGACTTAATTCATTTAACACACCTTTCCATTCCATTGGCATTGTAACCAGTTGTATGATTTCATCTTTTCATAGAGATACACAGTATTGCATTGTCTCTATAATAAGTTATTGATCCATTTTTTCTGTTATTAGCCAGTTTTCAATTACTGGCTATTGTATTAAATATTACAATAAATGTAGTTGTGCTTAGTTTTTACATTAATGTTTTTTTGTTTGGGAGGGGTAGATGCCCAGAAAGGTCATATTGCAGATCTATTCCTAATTTTTTGAGAAAGATTGATAATGCTTTCCATGGACACTGTAACAGACAATATTCCAAACAACAGTGAATGAGGGTTTCTTTTTCATTGCACTGATTATTCCAGTCTTTTTATATATATGCCATTTTCACTGATGTGTGATGTCATCACTATTATCATTTATTGATTTGTTCCTAGAACGAACAGACGCCATTGGGCTACACTAGCATGCAACAGGGACAAATGGAGACGTTACTGGAGCCCGCTTGAGCAAATCGATGATTAACGAGAAGTCAAGTGATCAAGTGATTGATTGATTGATTGATTGAATTTCCCTGATATCAGAAGACAATGAACACTTTTTCACAACTGTGGGTCTTCTGTATGTATTCTTTAGGGAAGTGCCTGTTTATCTTTATTCCTCATTTGTGAGGGGATTTTTGGTACTTAGACTTATACTTTGTTGAACATTTTGATAGCCTTTTATGTAATGGATATTAGCCTTTATCTGGATTATTGTGAAACATTTTCTCATGTTCAATAAAGTGTCTTTTAATTTTAGCTTGTGGGGTTTTTTTGGATATTGAATTCGATGGAGCTTATTTATTTACCTTGATTTCACTTATATTTCATACCATTATCAAATAATTGAAGATTCTTCAGAGGTACAATTTCTGGAGAGCTCTAGCTATGTTTATCTGATCTACATTCCACATATTTTTGTCTCCTACCATGTCCTTTATCAAGTTAATAGCAAAAGATTCAAAGATTTTTGCTCAATATCAGCAACAAAGCAAAAAATATTTTCTTAATCCTCCTGTAATCAGCGTAGTCTTAGAAATCCTTGCCACAACAATAAGGCAAGAAAAATAAATTATTGAGACTCAAATTGGAAATGGTGAAATTTCACTATTTACATATGATAAGATAATGTACGTAAGGAAATTAAAACACATCAGGAAAAGGGAAACAGAGTGAAATATCACTATTTACATATGATAAGATAATATACATAAGGAAATTAAAACACATCAGGAAAAGGGAAACAATTTAAGAAAATTAAATATGTGGAATAAATGTCTATATTTTATTAAGCTTACATCATGAAGAATATAATTTAGAAGATAAAATATTGACATTTTATAATATAGTAGATGTAAAATAAAACTTCATAGTCCCTAAACATGAAATTATCTTTTATAGACTGTAACTCTTCAGGGACTGTTTTCTAAATGACAAAATTTTTAGTATTATTCTTTTACAGGTGGTGGGATTGAAACTGGAACATTGTAGGTCTGAGACTATATTGTCAACAGTTTCGAAAATAAATAAATATGCCTAAAAATAAATATATAAAATAAAAGTGTATTGCTGTGGTTCTCCTAGACTATTTTGCTGTTTAAATATCCATTCCTTATGAATGAATGTGAAGTAATCTCTCAATATGAAGAGGTGAAGCGAATGGTGTTTGGGATGTTTTAGGGAAACTTTAGCAGGTCTGGTTGGATCCCACAGGGATAGGTAGAATGCAATGGAGCGCTGATCAGCAAGTGTTGTTAGAATCAGAGAGATCTCATCAATTTTTAGATATTGTATACTGTTGAAACTTCAGTGTATCTAGGAAAATGAACTATGAATATTATATTTAACTCTTTTCCACCATCATCACAGAAATTACTAGGGAAATAAAATTAAGTTGATGTCTTAAACATAGTGAAATTTGCATTATTTTTACATTTGACTTTATAGGATAATAAATTAATCACAAGTCACTTTTCTGTAGTACAAGGTTTGATTCTTTTAGTTTTCCAGGTAAAATATACATAAAATGGTTTCATCAGCCATAAAACATCACTTAAAAATAAATTTTAATCCATGGGGCCAGAGTGATAGTATGGCAAATAGGACACTTGCCTTAAATACTGCTTGGCCTTGCATACTGCTGATATGGTTCAAATCTTAGCAACCCAGATGGTCTCCCTGCCCACCAGGAGTGAGCTCTGAGCACAGAGCCAAGAGTAAGCCCAGAGTACAACCAGATATGAACAAAAGCACAAAAATTTATCAATCACTATATAAATATTAGCAATTATACATTGAACTTGTCTCTCAATAATGAATGAATGGAAGTAAGTGCTTCTCTTCTTTGAATCACCTTTCTCAGGGCTAACTTTATGGCTTTGTTTCTCAGGCTATAAATAATTGGATTGAATGTTGGGGGAACTACCGTATACATAATAGTGAGGAATAGGTCCAAAGCTGTTGGGGATTCAGAATGAGGCTTGAAATACTCGAAGGCACCCGTAGAAAGGAACAATATGACGACAACGAGGTGGGGGAGGCAAGTGGAAAAGGCCTTGGCTCTGCCCTCAGCAGATGGCATCTTCAGCACTGAAGAGAATATGTGCAGGTAGGAGAATCCAATAAATAGGAAACAAAGAAAGGACAGCAAAGCCGTAAAGATAGTGACACCTACTTCACTCATAAAATCACTAGAGCAGGAGAGTTTCAGGATCTGGGGGATATCACAGAAGAACTGGTGAATGATGCGTGGGCCACAGAGGTGGATGGAGAAAGTAGCTGCCACATGCATGACTCCAGAGATGGTCCCACTGACCCAGACACCGGTGACTCCATGGACACAGGTTCTGACGTCCATGATGATTTCATAGCGTAGGGGCAGGCAGATGGCCACGTAGCGGTCGTAGGACATCAACGTGAGCATGGCCATCTCGGCAATTGCACAGAGGGCGAAAACAAAGCATTGCACTATGCATTCCCAGAGAGAAATATTCCCACTGTGCATGAAAGAGTTGTAAATGAATCTCGGTACAGTCACAGAAATGTAGCAGAGATCCAACAAGGAGAGATGCTTCAGGAAGAAATACATGGGGGACTGGAGGCTGTCATCCAGGGAAGTTGTGGTGATGATGAGCATGTTGCCAGTTAAAGCCAACAAGTATAAGACCAAGAACAGAGAAGCATAGCAGATTTCTAGCTCAGGCTTGGCAGAAAACCCCATGAGAAGAAACCCACTCATGGTGAAATTTGTCATAGTTCTGTTGTTGGCTAAAAGACAAGAAAGACTCATAAACAGATGTTTTTATTTTTTAAAAAATTCTATTATTATTATTATTATTATTTTGCCTTTTGGGTCATACCTGGCGATGCATAGGGGTTACTCCAGGCTCTGCACTCAGGAATTACTCCTGGTGGTGCTCAGGGGACCATATTGGATGCTGGTAATCAAATCCTGGTCGGCTGCGTACAAGGAAAATGCCCTACCTGCTGTGCTATTGCTACAGCCCCAGCAGATCTTTTTAATAACATCAATGAAGATCTTGAATGTGTGAGGAACTTTATTATTAAATACTGTCACTGTCCTCCCGTTGTTCATTGATTTGCTCGAGTGGGCCCAGTAACGTCTCCATTGTGACACTTGTTACTGTGTTTGGCATATCGAATACGTCACAGGTATCTTGCCAGGCTTTAAGGAGGTATTTTGTATAGTGGTAGTAAAGCAACAAACATTGATTATGATATTTATAAATTTTAAAATATCTCCTGGGGGGGACAGAGAGAGGCCCCAGCAGCTCTCCCCCGTGCCTCCTGGGTTCGAAGGGGTCTCAGGCCACTCCCCCAGCCCGGGTGGTCAGGGTCATGGGGCAGACGGTGGACAAAACGGGGCCAAGCCAGTTGGTTGATCAGTTGCCATTTATTCCATTCTCCCCACGTGTCTGCCCCAGTCTCTCTGAGCCCCCCATTCTAGTCTCACACTGCCCCTCATTCCCGTCTCCTTCTGTCTCTCCCGCTTATATCTTATTACAGCCTGGGATCTCTCTCTCCCTGTGCCTGCTCCTGTATTCTTCTACATTCTTCTCCCTCTTTCCCCCTTGCTAGTCTCTCTCAGCACTTCATCTTGCTGCCCTGTCTTTCTCTCATCTCTCTCCTGCTCTCTTGTCTCTCCAACTCCCCAGCACTCAGGGCTGACACTGCACCCAGTCTGGTAGCCAAATCAACATAAGAAAGCCCTTCCTGATGGCCCACCACATTCAAAGGGAACACCATCCAAGAGGTATTCCAAAGCCCTTCCTGACTGCCTCAGGCAAAATACCTCTTAAGGTGTTTTTCTTCTTTCCTCAGTCCAATAACTCTATCAACATCTTAAATATTAGTTATTTTTGTATGGACACAGTAAGAGATACATTGAGGCTTGTAGGGCAGCTCTCCTGGGAACATCTTGTCCTAGACTCAGACCACAGGGCTGAGGCCGAATTAGTCTTTCCTATCCCTACCACGGTCCTAGTCTCATCGTTACTTTTGGATCATGACAGCGTTTGTCCATGACCGAGCTCTTAACTTATAATTAAGCATTATGGCACTTTGGCCAGGCCCATCTCGATGCCAGGGTAGCATGCCAGGGTAGCACAGAGCTTACCGCTTGCCCTGGTTCCATCCAGTCCCTTGTCAGGACCCTGCTTCTGGGGTGCTAGGAAGTAAGGGCAGCTGAGGCTTAGGTGAGAGAACAGATGCCCAGGAGGAAAATATCATTTAGAGTCAAATAACTCTCACATTACAAAAGCATAGCATTTACTCTCTTCTTGTGTTCATACTAAAAGGACATTTCTCTGAATAAACTATGCAAAGGACTTAGGGGAGAAGAGAAAAACAATATTTACAGGTCAACAGAGCACAAAGAAAGAAGTTACAAATAAACACAGAGGACTGGGGAACACCATGATGGGAGCAACCCAATAGCCCTAAACTACCTGAGGTTATGCAGTAAGGACAAAACAGTGTTATCCTACAACAAATGTTGACATTTCATTTCAATTTTATAACAGAAAACAATTATAATGGTCAGTCATATTGTATAGAGAGGTTTCTTCATACGCTTTTCTGGTTCCCAAACTATTTTATGTTTTTTTGTTTGTTTGTTTGTTTTTGTCCCTTGTGGGTTTTTTATGATTTGCTTGTTTTGGGGGCCACATCTGAGGTTCGCAGGAGCCACCCTAGGCTCTGTGATTAAGGCTGCCTGAGAACCAGGATGTACTGTCATCTCTTGATCCTGACCTCTACCTGCCAAGCAGGCATTGACCCCTTAGGGCTCTCTTTTCCCTGACACAGCTTCTCTTCCAGTACCCTGGGATCTCCTGATATTTGCCAGCTGAATCCGTGGAGGCCTCCAGAATGGCCAGGCTAGTTCTATTGTGTTTTGGCACCACTGCTACACCATGTCTTCAGGCCCTAAATATGAACTACAGGTAGATCTGGGCAAGTTTCAACACAAGCATTATTTTTAACATAAAATAACATGTAAATTAATCTGAAAAAATTGCCCAGTAGAAAATTACAAAAGAAAACACCTTCCCCACCGTATTGTTAACATATAATAATATAGCTAAAATACATTTAAAAAACAGTTAAGTAAAATATAAGATTGATATAAATATGGTTTTATGTCCAAAATTATAATTTCATAAGGAGTTATAGATTAAAATAATAGGTAAGGTAAGGTAAAGGCCCTCCCGTTGTTCATCGATTTGCTTGAGCGGGCTCAGTAACGTCTCCATTGGAGACTTTGTTATTACTGTGTCTGGCATATCGAATACATCACGGGGAGCTTGCCTGGCTCTGCAGTGCGGGCGAGATACTTTCGGTAGCTTGCCGATTTTCCGAGAGGGGCGAGGAATCGAACTCGGGTTGGCCATGTTGGCTGCGTGCAAGGCAATCGCCCTACCACTGTGCTATCGCTCCTGCTAATTTAATAAGTAGTCACGTATGCATACAAGCATTATAGCTCAAGATGTGCATGACCTCTATGAAAGAGCAAATTATTTAACAAGTATTAAAAAAAGCAGTCAGTGTTAAGCAAAATAAGTTTGCATGCAAATAGCATTTTAATCACAGAATACTAAGCATTTTAGCTTTGGATTCATTTTAAATTAGTACATTCTCCAAAACCATTGACAAATTTTAAAAGCAATTAAATAATTAATAAGAATATAAAGTAAAGGCCCTCCTGTTGATCATCGATTTGCTCGAGCGGGCCCAGTAACGTCTCCATTGGAGACTTTGTTGTTACTGTATCTGGCATATCGAATACTCTCGGTAGCTTGCCGGGCTCTCCGATGCATATATATATAAAATACATATAAGGTAAAGGTAAAGGCCCTCCCGTTGATCGTCGATTTGCTCGAGCGGGCCCAGTAACGTCTCCATTGGAGACTTTGTTGTTACTGTGTCTGGCATATCGAATACTCTCGGTAGCTTGCCGGGCTCTCCATATAAAAAGAATATAAAAAGACTGAAAATATAATTATAACTATTTTTTTCTATAATGAAATCATGATCACTGTTTGGATTAGGTTATATCATATATACCTTAGGATTTCAAATTATGGATCTATACAGGAGTTGAACTGGCAGAGGTTAAAGGTCATCAGGGAGCAAGACACAAAATATTTCTCAACATGAGTGTATGATTATATTTAAGTCTAATTAATGGATTTTTAATTCTAACTGTAAGACACACATAAAACTTGTTTGGCTTTGTACTTTAAGCTTTACAAAGTTAATCTTAAGAATAAACCTCGAATAATTGAATTAGAAGTTAAGGCTGAGAAAATTTGTCTATTCACTAGTGTTTGAATTTACTGTGCAGGAAGAATATTCAGGTCTGAGATTGGTGGAACCGAAACAGCCCAGAAGTGGTTATTCCCAGCACACATCAGCCTAACCTCTTTGAACAGCTGTTCATTCTTGGAGTGCTTTGGTTGGGGGGAGGAGATAAGAAGGAGGGCACACATCTTCATGTATTTGTATGGAAGAGTCACGAAAAGAGGATTTTCTATCCAGGCTCTCACAGAATTAGGATGGGTGATCTTCCCCACCTCCATTCTTCCGGGAGTCTAGCAGTGATGTCCATGAACTGCCTCTGGTGCCATATAAGCTCATTAACCAGCCATGGTCCAGAGACTCATAAATAAATCTTGAAAGAGATCAACAAGCTGCAGATATGCTTCCGGACCCCAAAGTCACCATCTTGTTAAAAATTTAACTCCAGCTCTATGACCCCATTTAAAATTTAAGAATTTCTGTGCACACTGGCATGACATCTCAAACTCTCCACCACTGATATACCTGGACTAGCACATCGCGTTGGGGGCTATGCAAAGTCACACACTTTCTCTTAGGAAATCTTTTTGGATAATTTTTAGCGAATTATTCACAATGAGGAATATAAAATAAATTATATCGGGCCTGCTATTGAGGGAGAAGTGGGTGATAGTTGGGAAAATTGGAAATATTGGTGGTGGGAAGGTGTAATTGTGGTGGGATTGGTGTTGGAATATTTAATGCAATAAATCATCCTGGGCATACTTATACAAGTAAAATAATTCAAAAATATAAATTAAAAGAATTTTAAAACATATTTTTCTAGAGAGGTGAGACTTGTAGTTTGCAAAATATTTCTGTTACGAAAAGAATTTGCAGTTCTCATTTCAAGATGCCATTTCTCATTTAAAAAATCTGAAATTTTATAGTTTCTTTCAAATGTTTCAAGTGAAGAATATTTCTGGTTTTATTTTACAGACTCAAAAAAAATCTGTCATTATCAGTATTTCATTCTCCTTCTCTACACTATAAGATAAAACTTATCTTACCTTTCTGGAACCTGAGGAAATCACCAGAACATGTTCAGGAACTTCTTCTTTTAACATATGGGCAAGCTGCCAGTGTCTGCGTTTCACAAGAGATGAAAGGCCCCATACCTGTAATTCAGTCCCTTTCAGCAAAATACTGTCTGTGGAGAAAAGAACATTAAGTCTGTTCCAATTCTTTGGCCACTTGAGGGTAGGTCTGAGGTCCCTTTGGCGAGGGAGGGTTCCTGGGCGCCCTGGGTATTTACAGATCCTTGTAAGTACCCTAGAGATCAAATTAGCCATCATGTTCAGTTTTCTTATAAGTTATTTTTCTGTTGACTTGATATAATGATCACACCAAGCTATGAAGGTTATTGTTGCAAGTTTATTGGATCAAATTATAGAAAGC